AAACTGATTCTGCGATCGGGGTAAATACTCAAAGGAAATCTCATCAAATTCCTTTATTAACTCCTCAAGGAATTCGTGGTAAGGAATCAATTTGGAGTCACGGGTTCGCCATTGGCCCTCTGTCTGAAGAATGATGAGGGCGGAATCGCCGTAAACCTGCAGCCTTCCTAACTTTCATGTCGACGGCCAATTGCAATCCCGGTATGCAAGCCTCGTATTCCGAGATATTGTTGGTACAAGGAAATGCCAACTTGGCGGCCACAGGGTGATGTTGACCCGTCGGGGAGATAAGAACTGCTCCAGTCCCAGAACCAGCCAGGTTAACGGCACCATCGAAGTACATAGTCCACTTATCGTCCACTATCTCTGAAATGCGCTCTTCTATAGGATCTGACTGATCATGGTCTTCCGACCTTTCGATGTTTTCTCCGGCATGTCGGCTATAGCTCTTCCCTTGACGATTTCTGCGTCATCTTTGTGGACATCGAATTCGGACACTAGAACTTGCCACTTTGCTAACTTTCCGACCAACGCAGGTTTTTCCAGCAAATATTTGATGGGATCATTCTCAGTTACGAGTAGGATCCGATGATGGAGTGTGTATTGGCGTAAGCGGTGTAATACCCACACCAAAGCCGCACATGTTTTTTCAACTCCGGGGTAATTTATTTCGGATGAAGTAAACTTCTTACTGAGATAGTATACCGCACATTCTTTGTCATCGCTTGGTCTCTTCTGAGCTAGCAAGGCCCCCAACGACTCATCATGAATAGTCAGGTAGAGTATTAACGGCACTCTAGGGACGGGTGGCACCAGGACCGGCGAATGAGAAAGATATTGTTTTATTTTCTCAAATGCCTCTTGACAATCAGTATCCCACTTAACTTTGGCATTTTTCTTCAAGAGCTTGAAAAAAGGTTTAGCCGTCTCAGACAATTGAGAAATGAATCTCGCCACATAGTTGAGTCTCCCTAGCAAACTCCGAATCTCTTTGACAGTTGAAGGAGGCTTCAAATCACAAATGGCCTTAACCTTTGACGGGTCAATTTCAATGCCTCGACTACTGACCATGAACCCCAATAGTTTCCCAGATTTTGCCCCAAACATACATTTGGCGGGGTTAAGTCTTAGCTTGAACCTTCGAAGTCGGTCAAACAACTTCCGCAACACCTCGATGTGGTCTTCTCCATGTTTGGATTTGGCAATCGTATCGTCTACGTAGACCTCCACCTCCTTATGCATCATATCGTGGAACAGCGTGACCATTGCTCTTTGGTACGTTGCCCCGGCATTCTTCAAGCCAAAAGGCATTACCTTGTAACAAAAGGTCCCCCAAGGGGTAATGAAGGAGGTCTTACTTTTATCTTCTTCTTTCATCCGAATTTGATTATAGCCAGAAAATCCATCCATAAAAGAAAATAGCTCAAATCCCGCGGTGCTGTCGACCAACACATCGATGTGAGGCAGCGGGAAGTCATCCTTCGGACTTGCTCGATTCATATCGCGGTAGTCAATACAAACCCTAACCCGACCATCCTTCTTCATAACGGGGACTACATTGGCGATCCAGTCAGAATAGTGCGACACTTCTATGAAGCCCACTTTCAACAACTTCATGACTTCTTCTTCGATCTTCTTGGATAATTCGGGCTTTGCTCTTCTGAGCCTTTGTTTCTTCGGCGGGATACTCGGATCAGTTGGTAGAGCGTGCTCTACAATTTCTCTATCTAACCCCGGCATATCCGCATATGACCACGCGAACACATCTTGGTATTCTTTTAAAAGGTCAACCATCCTTCTAATCTTGATTTTAGAAAGGCCAGCTCCAATCTTGATTTCTCTAACATTCTCCGAATCGCCCAGATTTATTGTAATTGTAGGCTCTGCGGTCAATGGCTTAGACTCTTCATGCCGAGTCCAATCTTGTTCGATGGTAATGATATGCATGCGTTTTGAAATCATTTTGAAAGAGTTTATGAAAATGATGGATCCGTCCTCATATCCTTGGACGTCCCTATTTGCAAATGATTTTGGAAATCAGGAAGCGTGCGGAAGTCCAGGCCTCAAAGCATCATCATCAGTCTGGTTTGGGTACTTCCACACGTTCTTAATAAAACATGACTATGATTTCATTAATAAGATAGGGCCGTTTACATGACTCGAGGTCCTGGACCGACGGCTCGCAGTCCAGGACTTTGATTACAAGGAGAAACAACACCTAGACCTAAATGAACTTCCCATGGAAAGGATGAACACGGACACAAACTAGACTAAACTGGAAAGAAAAGCAGCATCCCTACTCAAAAAGGTTGGCGGTGGCAATAGAAGGCTCGGCCTCTTCATTTTTTGTGATGGTACAAATGCACTCCCCCTAGAAAAGATCGACGAGACTAAGAATGGCCTCCTCTTCCTGTAGCAGCTTGGGTGGCCCCCGGAAGATTTCCTTCAACTCTGGCAGAAGTAGGCCCTTCTGACCTTCCCCTAATCCAAATAAACTTCCTCGACCTCCGCAACTTCCCTGATTAGCTAGGCCTCCGTAATCACCATGGTCTTTGTTGCTTGCCTGGCCGCTATAATTAGTATGTCCACCACGACCACCACGGCCTCCCTGTTGACCTCGTCCTCCGACACAGCCTCGTTCTCCATGGTTATCTCGGTCACCAGAATTGCTCCCATGATAACCCAGGCCTGTCTTCCTGCGCCACTTGGAGACCCGGAGGGGTTCTTTGATACCTTGTCCATATAATCCCAGGCTGGTTCCGGGGACATGACCATTTTCGAGCAATACCTTGCTCGACATGAGCGACGGCTTAACCACGTCTAGGTCTCGCATGATGGTCCCAACGGGCACATGGACCATCGAGACCAACTCCAGAGTTTGATAACTCGATTCAGCCTTGTCCTCGGGTTCTACATATGGGATTGCCGTGTCGTGAAAAACCTTAAAGTCAGTTTCCCCGTGAACAGTTACCAGCTTCCCGTCCACAATGAATTTAACCTTTTGGTGTAGGCTCGAGGGTACAGCTCCGGCGGTATGTATCCACGGTCGTCCCAGTAAAAAATTGAAGGCACTAGGAATATCTAGGACTTGGAAGCTGACTAGGAAAAGGACTGGACCAATCAGTAGTTCAAGCTCAACCTCACCAATTACTTCCTTTTTCATACCGTCAAAAGCACGAACGGTAAATTTGGATACTAGCATTTTTTCTTCATTTACCCCCAGACGACGAAGGGTAGCAAGTGGACAAATATTTAATGCCGATCCATTGTCAATCAATACTCTTGCCACCATCCTATCACGACACTTTACTGAGATAAGTAGCGCCTTGGTATGGTTGCGACCTTCAACGGGGAAGTCTTCATCGGCAAATGAGATTTGATCTTTCAATAAAATGGACCCTACGAACTCCTCTAGCTGACTATCATCGATATCTTCTGGCACATGCACTTCATTAAGGACTTTCAGTAGTGCATTTTTGTGCTTCTCGGATGTTTTAAAAAGATCCAAAAGAGAGATCTGGGCAGGCATCTTTCTCAATTGGTTCACGACATTAAATTCGCTCGTTTTGACAATTGCCAGGAACTGCTTCGCCTCCTCGTCCGAGACGGCTTTCTTCTCGACTACCCCAGCAGGTGCATAGCAACGGCCTGAACGTGTGATGGCGTCAATCTCGTCCGTTTTATAACTCCAAGGGACTGCCTTGGGGTTGTAACTCGGGGTTTTCTCTATTATCAAGTCCTCTTCATCCTCAGGCGGGAGCTCAATCACGATTGGTTCCATGACACCATCACCGATCTCTAGGGTAGCGAACTCCCTGGCCATAAGGTCGACGACTAGATGCTCGACATCTCCCTCGTCCGGCATCCATAAATCCTCCTCGACAGATAAATCAATTACCACAGGGGTAATCGTGCCAACCATTTCTTCGTTAGGCTCGAGCGGGTCGTCCATACCTCCCCACCCATCGGGAACGACATCCTTGGGATCGATGAAGAAACTAGGTGGCGGTGAATACTTCACAAGATAGTCCAATTTGCCGCTAGGCTGACCCAGTGTGTCAACCACTTCCCCTTTCTTACGAGCGAGTTTTATGAACTCACGATGCACACTGCTAACTTGAAGCCCAAGGTCAGCACGCGAGTTCTCTTCTTCACCGGCGGTTACGATTAGACTCTCCGACACACCCTCGTCGGTCGACTCATTAGTTTCTACACGCTCAGTGGGCGTGTCCTTTGACTTCTCCTCAGCCGTGATGGTCGTCACATTACCTTCCTTCATACTATATATTACCCCCATGTCCACCATCCGAGCGATACATTTCAACTTTTCTCCCATCGGAATATCCTCCCCATCCTCGAAGTGTCCAGCTGACACTAGTATTTTATAGAGTCTGTGAACATCCACATTAAATGTGTGCTTACTCTCGCCGCCCTTCTCAATAACCACGTTGACATTCTCAGCATGATTAGGCAACGGGTTTTGTTGAACATTAGGGGTCGGATCCTTAAAGGATAAAATGCCTTTGTCGAGCAGATTCTGAATCTTGATCTTAAGAGTGAAGCAGTTGTCCACATCATGACCTTTTTCGCCTCTATGGAACTCACAGGACTTTGACAAATCGAATCCGGGGAATCTTGGAGGATTATCCCGAGGCACTTCTTTAGCTATCATTCCCCTTCTCAACAGCATGGGCAACAACTTGGACAGTGGCCTAGGCGGGGAGTAAATTGCCTTGGTGCTCTCCTTTTAAATTCGGGATTCGATATGCCCTCTCTCGAAACACGAGAGGGGCCTTGAGAGGATGAGGCAAGGGGCTTCGTCGTGACTGGCGCTTGTACATACGCAATCTCCACATCCTTTTCTTTTCTATTCGGGACCTTCCGACTAGTCCCTTCGTTCAATCTACCATCATGCATGGCCCTCTATCCTCTCTCTCCGACATCTACCACCGGTGAGAGAAGGTCAAGCATCCGAACCCACCAACTTTAAATAGAAATCATTAGGCAAGGCTTTGAGGAAAAGATCCAAGTAGCTCCTTTTCACCGAGCGGGGTCGAACTTGAGCGGCGAGAGTACGCCATCTTTGAGCGAAGGCTCAAGGATTCACTTCTTCTCTTTTCAGTTCGAGTCAACACTTCGCGTGTGGGGGCTATCTCGGTATTGTACTTGTATTGCAGGACGAATGCCTCAGCTAACTCCTCCCACTTCTCGAACTTCTCGGGCTCCGACAACACGTACCATTGCAATGCAGGCCCTGTCAGACTCTCTTGGAAAGTCTGAATCATTAATGGGACATTCTGGGCATACCTCGCCATCCTGTTCAAATAGTACTTCAAGTGGATCTTTGGATCTCCAGTTCCATCATACTTAGTGAAATCAGGAATCTTGAACTTCTCAGGAAAGCTCATCTGTGCATATCGAGACAAATCCTCGATCATATGCTCTTCGTATCCTCGTAGCGCACGGAGTTTCTCTTCTATCTTCGCGAACCTTTTGTTGTGTTCTTCCTCCAAACGGGCGGTGACGGCTTTCGAAATGGGGTCTAGTTCAACCACTACGGGTGTAGAACCCAATGCCTCCTCAGTAACATTCCTTCTTGCGGGTCCTTCTACGGGCTCGGGAATAGCTTGAGGTGGGACTTGACCAGCATTCGGCGCTGCTAACGCGGTCCTCATATCATTAGCGAATTGAGTGAGCTGAGCCGCAAGATCATTGATCTTGTCATCGAGAGCAGCGAAACGGGCGTTTTGCTCTTCAATATTCATTTGCGTGGCCCTTGATCGTGTCCGAATTGGCGATTGCCTCGAAGCCGTAGTTTCGGCACCTGTTTTTTTTTTTTAATAAAATAAAACAAAAAGAATGAAATTAGTACGCGGTGAAGTGACAACACGAAAGTTGCATACCTTTTAATTTTATATTTTCTTACGATGAAACTGAGATAAGAAACTTTTTGCACAAGCTGCATCTCATGTAAACGGTTTCTTATAAAAATTTCACTGTAAGAAATCATACAATTAAAGGGAGTAACACATAGTGATTGATTAAAATGCCCATGTCATGTTCCATTCAACCTACAAAAGAGGGAATTTCACTAATTACATCAAAATTTGTGAAAGGAGATCCCTATACATCCGCTAAATAGTAAAAAGCATACCTAGACATTTGCCCTAAAAGTTCATGAAAAGAAAAAGCAGTATACATCAATTCCAAGATAATTAAAAGAACACCCTAAAAGAAACTAATAGAACATGACTAGTCTTGAATATAGGGCCTCTTCATAGCATGTTGCGGACGCGCTTGTAAGCTTTCTGCCAATGTTCTGCCTCAACCAGGGCTTCGTCCCTTTCTCTTATGATCCGCCCCATTTGAGTCTCCTTGGGGGTTGCAATCACGGGAAATTTTGGGATGGTGACGGCGAGCTCAGGCTCGACACGTCGCGCTATGTATTCCTTCGATGCATGGTGCTCCTTCATGGATCCTTCTAAGTCGGTGGCTCGCTCCACATCCTTCGGTTGGCAGCGGTAAAGTAAATCGATGATTCGTTTCACCTCGTTCTTCAATTCCTCGAGTTGGTCTCCCTTGATAACCCCATTGCGAAAATCGAAACGAAATAAACCCGACTTTAGAGGAGGAGGGGTTTCTTGAAGCACATAGAATTGACGGGCGACTCTTAAAGGATAATAAGAAGTCGATCCCGTCAAACCTAAGAGTGGAATTGGGTCACTATGGCCGCTTGTAAGGCATACTTTAGGAAAATGAACCCAAAGGGCTTGCCAAAGAACTTGTTTAGGTGTAAGATTCTCGAGGAAGTCTACCCAATTACGAAAGGTCCAAGGACGAAGGAATTTTTCTATCTCTTTGAATTGGGTAAGGGGATTTATGTCCTTACTAACATGAGGAATGGCTAAGTTTCCACCGAATTGTTTCAAGTGAGACACAAACCAGACTTGGAGAATACCTAAAGGGGCTCTAAGGGCTACACGCTTGTCCTTCTTGAAACGATTGAGAGAGATGAACATTTCGGCAAGGATCATGTTGGTAAACCCTTTGAGGACGAGGATCCCATCGATAACATGGATGACAGTGGGATCCATTGTTTTTTGAGTGAAGGGAAAGATGACAAACCCGAAGAAGGCTAATAGGAAGACCTTAGCGGATTCGGCTCTAGGACTCGAAAGGAAGCTATGGAATCGTTGTTCAAGGAAAGCTAGTGGGAGACCCTTGGAGTTTCTATTGAGGAGTGTCCTAATTTCGGGCGGCGGGACCCCTAGAATTTGACTCAAACGAGGGACTGGATCCACGCCTAAAGAAGGATCGACGACACTAAGGAAAGGGACATTGCCTATGATGATTTGAATTTCCTCCAAAGTCGGGGTTAATTCGTGACGATCAAACACAAAGGTTGAGGTTTCGGGGTTCCAAAAGTGGGCCAAGGCCTTGATCAATGTCACTTGGGGTTCTATATGTAAGAGAGAAAGGAGGTGGCCGACCTTCTTTTCCACGTAGTTCTTCTTGCTTGGGTCGAGAGCATCCCACATGTCCAACAACACTCGCTTTGGGATCGGGAGGATCCGAAGTTCATCGAGGCCCATGATATCTAAGCCTAGGGGCATTTAAATCAATTACTATTTATTACGAAGTAAATTTAAATTCGCATGAAAAAAAAAGGGTTGCGATTATTGAACGCGAAGGAGGTACAAACCTTACCCAAAAATGGTGAATATGTCAAACACAAAAACAAATCGCATGCCGACTCGTGAAGCTCACTAAAGGTGGGAGTTCTAAAGGCTAAAGGTCCCCATCCCAAATAGATCAAAAGAGTTTTTCCCATTCCGCACTTACGTCGGACAGTCCTCTTTATCACTATTTGAAAATGGGCGGAACCAAAAGGGGATAGCCATGGGTCCTTCCCCGCACGGTTTCCACACTTTTGGCACCTCCTATGGATTTCCTAAGGCGATCGGGGTTTTAGATCGCGGTTTGTGTGTGCAAGGTGTAGTGCTAAAGCAGGTAAAAGCATGCACAACAGTTGATATCAAAACAACACTTCAATTTTCATTCACATATACGTACACCCTTTACACCAACCTGCAAAACAAACATGTCAACAATCAATTCACCCCTTATAACTCCTAACCTACAAAACCATTTAACACAATGTTAGTGGACTTACCTTAGCCTTCACGAAGCGCTGTCACAAGACCACGTTAGTTAACAAACAATCAAGTTATATTAGGCCTAAGTCCTCAAGTCCCCAGCGGAGTCGCCAAGCTGTCGCGACCTCTCTAAACCGGCCCCGCCGCCTAAGGGGTTAGGCTAATGGATTACTAAGTTAAACCTAGCTCGAGCTCTCCCAAGCTCATACCAATTCGCGACTTAAGTTAAAGTTATTAACATGGAAATCAATTTCACCTAGGAGTCGCCACTAATCAGTTTTTGGTGGGTCGATTAGACACCCAAGCAAAGCAGGGGAGAAATGTTTTACTTCTACGAACCAGAGATTCAATGGGTACGGGGACTTGATTACACTAATTGACCAACTAGTGCCCTTTCGGTACCTAATCTTGCTCAATTCACCACCTAACGTGTTCACACTAACTGGGAGTTTAAAAAATTCATTCCTAACCAAGCTAAGGGAAGCAACAATCACTACATGAACCTAACATGCATAATCAACCACATGCGAGTTTAAATTAAACATGCAATTCAAAGCGTGCGAATCAAGCGAGGAGCAATCAAACATACGCTAATCACACAAAAAGGGAGAGAAAAGCAATTCTGAAGCCCAATTTCCAATTTTTGGATTTTCGAAATTTTTCTATTTTTTTTTTAATTTTCGTTTTTTATTTAAAAAAATAATAATTCCCTAAATCGGCCTATGCTCGGTTTACGTGAACATGAAACAACTCAGAATATGAATATTACGAAAACCGGGCTCAAATCAACCGTTTCAAGATCGAAGCTTGGTTTGGGCATTTCGTCGAGCATTTGGTGTGCATTAAACTGCCCCAAATGGCTTCTTCGAGCCATATTCGTGACTTTCAATCTCAGTCCGTGTGTAATATCAAGTGGAACCAAAGAATCAAGGTTATATTATCACATGCAAAGAACGAGATTAGCTAGAAATCACAGCCTAAAACGCACAAGAACCAAGTTGGAACCGGCCTCCAATATGTGGGTTCGGGCTGCTTTTGCAAATCTGGGTTTAAACCCAGGTCAAGCAAACCTGTTGCATGCCCAGGTTTAAGCCCCGACACTCATCACGTGCAAGATCTATGGGAAACATCACTTCATCCGAAAGAACATACGTAACATCTACTTTTAAATGAAACAAACATCATGGAGAATGATCAAGCGAACACATCGAAACAACCCCCCCAAGAAGCATACATGCATGGTTCATAATGACTAGCCATGAATCAATGTGGGTTAGCTTGGCTTTTGACTCAAGTTGCAAGCGATCTCATGGTTCACACGGGGCTTCAAAGACCAAACCAAGTGGATCTCAGCCTAATTTGTACACCCATATAACATTCATCAAGCTCACGAAGGTAGAAAACGCATGCAAAGAGGAGTAGCAAGTCAAACATTTAGGGCTCATGAAGGAGCTCTAACACTTAGAAAAATTCCAGCCTCAGAAATCAGTTCTCTGGGCTGGTTTTCTCTTGATTTTTTCATAACTAAAACATATTCAAAATTGAACAAAAATACATGTAGGATACTCACCTTGCTTCCTAGTTTCTCTTTGAAGCATCCCTTGGCCGAGGGAACCAAAAACCTGTCTTCCAAGGGCGCGGGGAACTAGGCTTCTTCAAACTGGAAAATGAGATCTGCAAAGAAGGAACTGACAACGAAGGTTTTTGTTGGTCTCCAAAACCAGAATCAACGACCTCCTTTTCTGACTAATTTGACACTAACCCAAACTAGATGTATTCTAGTTTAATTTTCAAGTCACAGGTATCCTCATATATTCCTCATGTCTCTCAAAAACTCCCACTTTCCCTCACCAGTAACCGTCTGACTTCAACACTTAGAAGATTTCTGGGTTTCTCTCTTGACCCGAGAATGGGCTGCTTTTCGAGGGGATTTTGGGTGGCTTCCCGACATCCATTTGGGGCGTGCGACCTATGGTTCGAAAGCTCTTTGAATGTAGTTCCACTCTCTAGTTGAAGGTTTTGGCTAATTTTGGCTCGAAGTTCACGAAAATCTCACTTTCCTTTCCAAAAGTCAGTCTGGAACTTTTCTGGGTTTATGTTTTTTTTTAGTTGCGTCTGAGGGTGAGTTTTTGGAACGACCGTGAACTCCCCTCCTCTTCTCTCATCCCTTTATTTTTATCCCCCAAAAGAACGTGCTTCAGAGATCCTATCCATCAAATCCCACCCGATTTTTAGCCCGTGATTGCCCATTTACCAAGCCTGCAAACTGAGTCTCTTCACCAACTTTCTGACTCCAAAATCATCATAATTTGCAGCTGTTGAGTGAGCAGGTTTGACTGAGATTATCACGTGTCTTCAGCAGCTTATCCCTGGCAAATTTTTGTCCATTTGCACTCCTAATGATGGTCTCACACCTCGGCCAGAGTTCACGCTGATCGGCTGGCTGAGTAGGATATGGTGGGGCCACAAATTTGGCTACTCAGCAGCCTCGAATTGAGACCAAATCGTGGACCGGTTTTTGGAAGCTAATTTAAGTGCTTTAATCCAATCATTTGGTCGGAATTTTTGATCAGTTTGAAAGTTGAAGTATATTAGTTTAAGATGATAAT